CACACACTGACAGTGATGGTGGCCCCACACCCATCCACACACTGACAGTGATGGTGGCCCCACACCCATGCACACACTGACAGTGATGGTGGCCCCATACCCATGCACACACTGATACGACTAGTTGGCCTTAGTGTGTTATTTAAAAAATAGAAATAACCTTGGCAAGGGAACATATTGAAGAGTATGTGGAAGGAATTTAGAGGAGAAATCAGGAGACATATTGCACTGTACATATGTATGAAACTCTCAAGAATAAGGAAAGAAAAGCAAGTATTTCCATATATAAATGTAAACCATTTGGGGGAAAAGAAGACCCCAATAACATTTTAGGCCCTTCTTCAAAGCAGAAATCATGTCCCATCTGTCACCAGTAAAAGCTGGTGCACTGCTTTTTTTCTATTCTGCCTTCTGCTTCCTAACCCAGTCCTGTCGTTTCCTTCAGGCTAAGATTGATTCCCTCCTACCAAAATCATGATGGATACCATATTGCCACATGCAGTATTTGGTCCATTCTGTGTCATCAGCATGTTTTATAAAGCTCACCGCTTCGGTTTTTTCCTCATAGCTTTTGAGACAGCATTTGTGCAGTGTGGTCCTCCTTTATGCTGACCACCTATTATTTGACTTCTTGGGTGATTCTTCTCTGCTCAGAAGTTAAATGTTTGACCACTAACTGTAGGTTCAGTCTTTAACACTCTGTTCTTCATTACCCATATCATCACCTTAGGTTTTGTGTGATTTTAAATATCACATTTACTTTTATTGCCAAAGCTAATGGGTAAGGTTATAAACAGAGTTACATGTACATATATGGGAGGGGGGAATTTTCCTTCATTTTAGCCATTTAGGCTATGCTTATACTTATACTCTCTTATAAATATAAGTATATGCTTATGCTTATACTTATACTTATATTCATTTAGGCTTATGCTTATACTCTCATGTCATGACTTAGGAGGCCAAGACTGCTGAAGAATTTTCCATTGATTTAAGGTCAGCCTGGATTGCCTAGTAAGTTCCAGCCTAGCCTGGGCTATAAAAAGAAAGAAAGAAAGAAAGAGAGAGAGAGAGAGAGAGAGAGAGAGAGAGAGAGAGAGAGAGAGAAAGAAAGAAAGAAAGAAAGAAAGAAAAAGAAAGTTTATCACATTTCAGTTTTTTGATGGATTACATTTAAGAAAAATCTGTATATTTATAAATATACCAATTGCAAATACAAAAATCAAATTTCTACATATTCATTCAGGAATGTTACTCTACTATTGAATTTTCTATAATCTAAGATGCATGTATCTTAGCTCTTTCCAAGAGACTTTAAAATATGGTATAGAATACAAGTATTAAAAATATACAACCAATAGGTGTTGAGTAAATCTGTAAAATCAGTGATGAGTGTATTCCCAAAGTAATACTAGCAATAGCACTCATAGAGTTCATCATACTTAGAATGTTTTAGATTTTTATTTTATCTTTGTAGGCCAACATATTTTCATCCATCACTGCATTGATTCGCTTGGTTACAAAAGGGTATATACAGCCTCTAAGCACAACTTGTTCATATCATTTGGAGCCAAGAAAAGCATGGCATTCTATTTTATTAATAATGTAAATATAGCACTCTACAACATTCTCAGATCCTGATATTCCAGGCCATGTGTACATCTGTGGTTTCCCACTGTCTGTGCCTGAAAATAAAGTGCTCTGCAGACCACTGGCTGGCTTGAAAGCCACAGAAACAGAGTTTGAATACAAGGTGATTGTTTGAATGTTAGTATCCCCACTTCTAGGACAAACGGATTTCACTTCTGGGGGATTTTTTTTTTCAGCTTAAAATTCATAAGTTGGGGCTGCCATCAGATATGGTACAGAATTCATTAAGGAAGAAAAACAAGGCCCTGCATAAGCAGAGGTGTCTTTATTATATAATTTTAAAAGGTCAGAGATCTACTTTAGAAAAGGTTTGCTTCCTGACCTATAGTCAAATTTATAAAATACAGGACTCTGTGTTTTTGAGCCAAATAAGTCTTTATTGGGTGTTTGATGCAACAAATGTTTACTAAGGAAAGGTTATACACAAAGTACAGACCTGGGCCATCTGGAGAAATAATGGATAAATCTATTCGTTTTACAAACAGATGCTGAACATTTGTGCTAGTTTTTGTTGCTGGCATTAGCTTTGGTAGTGAGCACAACAGGTAAGCACCCTTTTGCCACAGAGCATACATGGTAGTAAATGAAGCTTGGTGTACCTCAAAACAAGGCTGAAACTACCCTGTGATTAACTATGAATTCACAGAGCTCTTTTAGGATATCTGACAATAACTAAAAACTAAATGTTGTTCCATGAGATTTTGCTAGACAAAGCCCAGAAAATCAGCCATCATCCTTTCGTGTAATGCCTATACTCAAGCATCATTTTTAGAATCCTTCACACATCTGACATCCGAAGTTAAAGTTAGCCTCTTCAACTTACGTGTGGGTTGATCATTCCAGAAAACACAGTTTCAGTTCTTCCTCATCCTAATGATATTGTAAGGGGAAATGATGACACCCACAAGACCTCCCCAGCACACATTTATGGCTGTTGTCTAGATTTAAATTCTTTACAAGGGGTATGATATTCTAGCAAATTCTTTAGACGAAATTTCATTATAGATGTTCCATGAGTTAACCTAAAAGTATTTTCTCTGTATCCTAATTGTAAAGAGTGCCCTAAAACGATTGTTTGCTTTCTCTCTTTCTGTCCAGTAACTTTCTTATCTCCTCAGTATAGACTGCTGTCCAGGCTACACTTGGCTTATGTCTAACCTGCTCAGTAATCCCTTCATTTACCCATGATTGTATTTCCTCCCTCATATTTGAATAAAAGTCAACATGAATTTTACTGCTCACCTGTTGATTTTTCCCTTCTGTCCTTTGAAGAACTCTCTCTGACATTCTCATCCCAGAGCAGGTTTTCACACCAAGATCTCACTGACCCAAAAGACTCTTGATTCTGGAGGAGAGAATCACCCCTACCTCCATATTGATAAAGGATTTTTTTCTCCATAAAATATCAGGAGAAATTTTGGTGACCAAAATTCCAGTTGAAGGAGTGTGGATGTGTCTTGAACTGTTTGCTATGTTTATAAAGAGTTTGAAATTTAATGATCATCTCGGATATACTAGCCAGTCAAATGTAAGTAGATCAAAGAATGTTCGTGGAATCTGTTTATACAAGATCCTACTATAAACTTGCTGCCTCTGAGCTATGCTGTTTGCCAAAATCTGTGATTGATATAAGGGCTTTTATGAAAGTGATAGTCTTAGGGATATCATCCAGAAGTCTAGAAAGGGTGACTACATCAAAGGAGAAGGTCATGCTCAGATCCCCTATCAAGATGGCAACCATGTGGATGTCATGTGTTCCCAAATAGGCATCTTGGAAGAAACCTTTTGTATTTTTTTTTAATAGAACTACTCATGGTTGAGAGCAAAAACAAGGAAGATTTATTGATTGTTTGCTGTTTTTTGTTACTCAGTGATGGCCTGGATGCCTTGCTCATATTTGAATTCCTGCAGCAACAGAGAAGCCCTTCATTCAAAAGCAGAACCAAAGTACCTAGTGAAGTAGGTCAAATATTTCTAGAAAAGGATTGCCCCACCAGCACCACCACCACCAAAAAAAAAAAAAAAAAAGATTTTGAGCCACAGCTAACCAATATGGTACACATTGTTTTATGCAGTTTCCTGCTGCCTCATTTCCCAGTCCTCAACAAGGTGATGAGACTGAAAGACTAGAAAATTAAATGACCTAAGATGGGTGCATGGCTTGTTTAAAAACATATTTTCTGGAGACGCCAATATGTAATTTAGGAAGAAAATTAAAGGAGGAGGCAGAGGAGAAAGAAGGAGGGGAGGGGGAGGAGGAAGAGGAGGAGGGGGAAGGGGAAGGGGAGGAGGGAGAAGGGGAAGGAGGAGGAAGGGGAAGGAGGAGGAAGAGAAAGAAAAGGAGAAGGAGGAGGAAGAGGAGGAGGGGGAAGGGGAAGGGGAGGAGGGGGAAGGGGAAAGAGGAGGAAGGGGAAGGAGGAGGAAGAGAAAGAAAAGGAGGAGGAGGAGGAAGAGGAGGAGGAGGAGGAGGAGGAGGAGGAGGAAAAGGAGGAGGAGGGGGGAGGGGAGAGGGAAGGGGATGGGTAAGGGAAGGGGAAGGGGAAGGGGAAGGGGAAGGGGAAGGGGAAGGAGAAGGAGAAGAATCAGCAGCAGCAACTCTGAGCAAACTGGCAGAGAGAAGAGGATTCTGGGGACTCATGAGGAGGGTAGGCAATGCCTGCTGTGGCCCTGATACTTTGCTTTTCAGAGCTAGATCTAATGTATGCATACTGTGAAACACTTCTTGTTTCCTTCCCTTCCTGTAGTTTTATTAGTTAAATGACTCTTTAAGTAGGGGGGGGGAGTGTTACTGAACCAGCAAGGAAATTTAATACATTTTATTTTCCAAAGATTTCAAGTAGCAATTCCCCAGGGAGTTGCTGTTCCCTGTGCCTGGCCTCATGACTTACAGATCATACTGAGTCTGTTCTGCACGCTAGAGCCCAGATCATACTTTGATACTTTTAGGACACCTGTCTAACTAAGCCACTGTAGACACACTACACTACAGGACTAGCGTCAGGAATTCCTACAGTCAAGCATAAAAATATTTGCTTGCTATATGGTAGGTATATGAGTGTGAACTCATGAATACTACCTGTAGAGGTCACAGGACAGTTGGGGGAATTGGTTCTTTCTTCCCACCATGGGATTGGGAGATTGAACTCAGCTTGTTAGGTCTCACCCAATGAGCAAGCTATCTTACCAGCCCAGATACAGCTTTTTTAATGCAATAATT